TTTTAGAAATTCTTATTAAAAAGTCTGCGATTTTGCAGAAACTTTGCAGATTTTTCTTAATTTTCGTTCACAGCTTCTTTCTTGGACTTAAATTGGGTTTGCTGTGATATAAGCCATATTTTAATACAAAATAAAAATTTTAGCATGTGGGTATTATTATTATTATTATTTAGTGCCGATATGAATATCAGAACTAATAGTTAATATGAGCATCGGCTACCGGGGCCATCAGCATGTGGGTAAAACATTGCGAATATTAGTTGTGTTTTTTTACAAATTATCCAGTAACTTGCCAGTAACTCCCCAGTAACTTTATTTCTAAGAATTCGCTCTCATAGAAAAAATTTGCAAAAAAGTACGCAAACGCTTTTCCAGTAATAATTTGCAAGTTTCATGAACAGCTGATAAATTGGTTGTTTATTCGCAGCATATTCCCAATAAAACGATATGTTTTATATTTAAATACGTTTGTTTTGAAAATTTCCACAATAAAAATCCACAAACAGTTTCCTTATTAGTTTAAATTTCATACAGCAACATGCGATCAGCTGTTTTTCGTACTGGCAAATTCAAGGCGTATTTAACAAGGTGGTGTTGGCCGTATATAAGTAAAAAATTACACTAACAAATTATACGCTGATGTCCATACTGTCATTGGTATGAGTTACAACAAACACATCATTTTGACGTAATGGCCTCCACGGCGAAAAACTCAGCTGTCGCCCCAACACCACCTTGTTTAATACACCTTGGGCAAATTCTTACAAGTAAAAATTTATCCAGTAAAATCCAGTAAAAACTTGCAACTTCAGCAGTCATTTTTCGCTCTCTCAATTTCCCCTACTTTGCAAGTTTTTGCGTACGAAAACGCCAAAACATGAAAATTCGTAAAAACTTTTACTGGATTTTACTGGAAATGAGTAAAAAAACGCAACTATTAACAAAAAAAAACGTACGCTCATTTTGTGAGTAACAGTATATAGTATAATCAAACATAGTATAGATTTATAGACGTACAAACAACGTGTATTAAATGTTAAATACATTTTGCTTACAAATAGAATGTTAAAACTTAGAAAAATGGACTTAAAGGTATCCAACTGGAAAACGTGGGCAGCAGCGAAAGGCGATGTCTTACCCATGGAACTTAGACTTGACATTAAAAATACCAATTGTTAACTGGTGAAGTGCGCATTTATCTGCACGCTAATGATTTGATTCCGTGAACAAAATTTAGCATAACCATCTATGTAATAGATATATATGTATTTATATACTTTTGTCACCCACGAATGATAGAATACTTCGCTACATCGTGTTTGTCACCGGCATAAATCCTAAATAATAAACTAAACAAATTTGAACGAAGTAATGCGGATTCTCACAACAAACACACCAATCTTGATCTTGATGCACAAATATTTTAGGAACGTTCAGATTCCAACAAGTATTTTGAGATAAAAAAATTTCAATTCACAATTATTTTTTCCGTTTTTCTCTCGAATTATTATCCCTTCGTTTCGCTTTTTTTATTTGTTGGTTTTTAACAAGGCGAATTCATACAAGGGGGTGTTGCAGAGTCTGTGTTTATACACGGAAACTTTTGTCGACGCGATTTTTGATATGCCCTTTCGGTGTTTAAAGCGGAAATTAGTCAAGAACGTAAACCTACCGGTACGTAAACCCGAGTCAGCTGACACGATCTGTCTTACCAGAGCGCCATGTAAATGAAAACTCAACTCCGCAGAATTTTTCTTTAGTTCTACCCCGTAGCGCAGAGATCTGCGGAATTTGGATTTTTCGGTGTCAGCTGATTTCAGATGGTTGCCACGTCGTCAGTTTTGCAATTTTTTTTTCCTATTCAAAATACGTTTAAAATATTTGAAATTTACTATTAAATAAGGCTTTTTGTTGAAAACTAAGTAGTATATATTTAGCTACGAGCTATTATAGCACGAAAAATTGTAGTTGAAAAGGTAAGTTTATGAAAAGGAATTGATGAGTGGCAACACTGTAATAAGAAACACTGAGGGCTCTAGTTATCGAAAAAATTCTGCATACACATACTGCGTTTAAGTATAAGTTCTGCGTTCTTGACTAAGTTCACCTTTACACACGGCGATTTTTTTTTGTATGCAATTATTTTTCCTACCAAAGGCGTCTAAAACGTACAAAATGTTTTTAAGTTTTCAATTTATTTCAATATCAAGTTACTTCTTTCGTTCCCTTAAAACCCTTCAAATCCCGGAACCCACGACAGCGTTACGCTATTGTGGACTCCCAGGTAGTTCCAAATAGTTTCACAGTTGTTCACAAACCTTGATGCCGTTTTAAAATAGTCTTACCGCCCTATTCCCACAACCAAAATTCATCATATGACTATTGTCAGAATTACTGCGCCTAAAATACAATATAAACATTGTTTCGCCGTTGTCACTTACTCAGTAGGTCATAACAATAAAACTGACAATTGTCATACGACAGCAGCAGCGGCGCAGTAGTAAAGGGCGCTGAGTTTTGTCAATGGTGTGGGAATAGGGCGGTAAGGCCTTTAACCCTGCCTGACTATCTGAAATAATATTTATTCTGGCCACATTTTCTCTTCTACGAAGACTTCCGCCTGGAATATCGTTAGGTACAAGCATGATAAAAGCCAAGGCGAATTAATATAAGGTGATAGCAGGAGTACAAAAACAAAAATTAAAATGTATTTTGTTTTTGCTTTGGCGGCATGAACTGTCATAATCTGTAAGAGTGTGTGTAGAAATTCAAACAAAATTTTTCAATTTGATATCAGAAGCCGTGCGGCGAAATACATACACAAAATCAGCTGAGCTAGTAACACCACCTTATATAAATTCGCCTTGATAAAAGCATTAGAAGGTAAAATCATTCTCACAATTCGTCGGCCATGATTTTTTTGACGTTTGCAAGCATTTTAAAATCATATAAAATTGAAAATAAAAAAATTAAATTGTTTACAATTGTTGTTTGAGATCAAAAATTAGAATGTGTGTGTGAGCTTGAGTTCGAATTTTATAATTATATTGCTGGCCATGATAAAAACATTACAAGCTAAAATCATTGAGAGGCAGTCTGACGTTTGCCAGCAATATAATTTTAAAAATCGAACTCAAGCTCACACACGCATTCTCACTTTTAATCTCAAACAACAACAATTGTGAACAATTTCATTTGTTTATTTTCAATTTTATATTGTTTTTATCATGATTGGTGACAAACGTCAGCCTGGCTTTCAATGATTTTACCTTGTAATGCTTTTATCATGGGTACAAGCATGAATGATAGAATACATCGCTGCACGGTGGGAATACATTTTGGCTTGTTGTAAACACCGTATAAAATATACGACCGTCAAATTTATGAATGGCAAATCTCGACGGTTGGCAGTAGTGCTTGGGACGAATGTCAAAGGAAGGCACAACAAATTCTTTCTTTCTTCTATTGACCGTCGAAAAGTTCAGTCATGGCGTAAGTTTAACGATTTTAGATTATATATATTAATCCTAAGATTTTAAAGCAATCCTAAACATTGATTTAATAAGTTTTGTAATTTATTACTTGTGAATGCTTTCTTTAGCACAATCGAGTAGTATTTATATGCAATCTTAAACCAGCTCGATGGATTTATCAATATCCTATAGAAGTTTGGAAAAGATTGCTACATT